TTGTGAAGTGTTTAATTAGCCTTCTCAAGGTAGATCACAACCTCAAACACAATTAATAAATTGATATAATGCCTCAAAGAGGAAAATCTCCTTTTCTTGTTCAGACAACACAACAATCTGTATATAATATTCCATGATGATTACTGTCCTCGACTCCTCTGTGCACTTGCTGCTTAGCGTGTGTTTGAACAAGGCCATCTTGTCAGGCTGCATCCTTTATTACTGCCACTAGAATGAAAACTAAACAGTTGGATTTTGGTTTATATTATTTTATATATTATGAAGCAGCACTATTAAGAGTCAGCACTGGCACCAACTTCAGTGGAATGTAGAATGTAAAGGATCCTTCCCAATGGATGGTCACCCTGGAGCCATCCAGGGATTTCAGATAAAGATGTTGCCAGTAATGGCAAAGATCTAGTTTTTTTGTTCACCCGCAGACAAGGATGGGGGCTTCTGAGTACTGGCAAACTAAGCCGCATTTTAAAAACAAACGTAGTAGAAGCTCACAGTGAAAGGTACCACAATAATCAGCTGCAAAACCCCTCCTGCACAAAAGGTCAGGAAGCACATGTGCTTCAAATGCTGCACGGCTTCTTTGTGACCATGAAGAGAAACACATCTAGAATTCAGCTGCAAGTGTTTGTGTAGTAACATGAGCCTGCACCAAGGTTTTGTTCTCTGACTGTGCCTTGTACCATTGCTAGAGAAGACAAGCTGGACCTGCCTGAACTCGGAAATGGAGGAACCTGTGATGGGTAAGAGATGTCAGCTCAGCACTCTCAAGTGCTGAAGAAATCCATTCTTCATGTCTGATCCCGGCCTATCAAGCTTGCAATAACTGGAGCCAGGAGGTAAACTGGGGGCTAGAGCAGGTCTTCCGACTTCACCCACGCTCTGCCAGAGCCATGTCATGCTGCAGCCTGTGCCAGAGTACTGATGATTTATGGTGGGTGGAAACTCCACTCCCCTGCTCCAGCATGTTTGTGGAAGGGGCTGGGACAGTCTAGGAGACCTGCTTCTTCTCCTTCTCATGTGGAGACAAAGCAAGGCCAGATTTCCCCAGGTTTATATGCAACGTTCAAGATACATGGCAGTCGGTTTGCATGAGGAAGTAACCACACTGCACACAATACAGCACTCTGTGTTGCTGCTTTCCATCTGTTGGTTACAATGGAACTAATGGAGTTATGCTGCAGTCTCGCTAAGGCAGAGATGTGTGCCTATATGACATCAATCACAACATAAATCAACACTGCTCTTGGACCGCAACCCAGAAAGCCAACTGTGACCTGGGCTTCATGACTAGCAACATGAGCAGCAGCTTGAGAGAAGGGATTCTCCCCCTCTACTGCACTCTGGTGAGATCACCTCTGCAGTCCTGGTCCAGCTCTGGGGCAACAGCACAAGAGGGAGATGGACTTGCTTGAGTGAGTCCAGAGGAGGCCACAAAGATGATGGGAGGGCTGGAGCACCTCTGCTATGGAGACAGGTGGAGAGAGCTGGGCTTTTTTAGTCTGGAGAAGAGAGGGCTCCTGAAGGGGAGACCTTAGAGCAGCTCCAGTGCCTAAAGGGGCTGCCAAGAAATTTGGAGAGGCGCTTTGGGCGAGGGATGTAGTGGCAGGTCAAGGGGGAGTGACTTTAACCTGCCAGGGAGATTGAGATGAGCTCTTAGGCAGAAGCTCTTCCCTGTGAGGGTGCTGAGGCGCTGGCACAGGGTGCCCAGAGAAGCTGTGGCTGCCCCATCCCTGGCAGTGTTCAAGGCCAGGTTGGACACTGGAGCAAGCTGCTCTAGTGGAAGGTGTCCCTGCCTGTGGCAGGGGTTGGAGCTGGATGAGCTTTGCGGTCCCGTACAGCCCAACCCAGTCTGCTATGCTGTGCCTGGCTCCCGCAGGGGCGGTGCCTGGTGCCGGGCGGTCACCATCCCAACCGCGTCCCTCGGCACCAGCACCACGAACGTGAAGGGTGAGAGGGGGCACAGGGTCCCCCCGTGAGACCCCCCCGGCGCTGCCCACCCGGCCGCGCACTGCCGCGGCGCGCCCCCTGCTGGCCCGGCTCGGCCTCAGGAGGAGGAAGAGGAGGCAGCGCCGGTGAGCTGGGCAGCCTGCGGGGAGCACCAGGTTACAGCAGCTTCCAACAGCCCCCCCCCCGCGTTTGCCGAGCCCTGCGACTGGGCTGGACTTTGCCTGGGGCGCCAGAGAGCAGGGTTGGTGCTGGAGGAGCGGCCTGCGTGCCGGGGCTGCACACTAGAGCCCGCAGCTTGGTTCTCAGCTTGCAAATAAAGGCAAAAAGCCAGGCTGGACGGGGCTTGGAGCAACCTGCTCCAGTGGAAGGTGTGTCACTGCCCGTGGCAGGGGGTTGGAACTGGGTGAGCTTTAAACTCCCTTCCAACCCAAACCATGCTACGATTTTAATCCTCATAATAATGTGATACTGTTCTAACAGTTCAGCATTTACATAACCGAGTTGCCTGGGGCTTTCTAGGGGCTGAATACTACCCACTTCAGGGCCTCAGGGTACCGATGCTCTGGTGGGGATTGGCAGCATGCTCTGAGGGAACCTCCCAGTAATATGGCCTGTGCAGTGACATGCTAGAGTCCTGGACCAGCCTTACAGTGGGCTCATTTGATGGCATTTGGATGAAACCAAGCTGAAAAATGATTCCAGGTATGCACCAGTGCACTGCAGCAGCTGTGTCGTCATGTGGGGCCTTTGCACAGGCTGTTTCAGATTACACGTTTGTTCCTTCTGCATCCAGTACATGACAGCATTGATCTGGGCAGGCGTGCCAAGCCAAGACAAAGGCCAGACCAATTTCAAATACTTTTGGCAGACTACAACTTACACATAAAATCCCACCTCAACTGAAGCCCGAGGTGCCAACTAGTCCAAGGGCTGGTGGCTCTGTGTTTCTTTGGTGGCTCCAGCAGTCCATTTGCATTGGCAGTAGGACAGCAGCCGAGGTTATGCTCCTGTCAGGTTTTGCCTGCTCCGTCAGCGCTGGCTATCAGCAGCCAGACCTCAGATCCTGCTGTGGCTCCCTGCTGCTCCCTGCACAGCCAGCCAGGCTGCAACACGATCACTGACCACAGGGTTACAGGGCTTAGCTACAGCAGACTGCATGGGGATTGTAACTGTTCCCTGCCCTGACACCTTCATGTCCCTCTGCTGACTTCCACCCAAAAAGGGGCACAACTCCCTGCTTAGCATTCAATCTCTCCCTCTCCCAGTCCTCCATCCATCCTACAGCTCTGAGCCACCACCCAGCCCAGCTGATAAGCCTTGTATGTGCTCCTGGAGTGCACTTAGTAACCCTGAAGTACCTGCGGGAAGTTCATGGAAGAGAATACTACAGATATCATTATTTCAACCAGAATAACAGGAATTACCACTTTTCAGGCCGATTTAGGCCAGTTTATTGAACTAGGCATTCATAGAGGGTTGCTGCTCTGAAAGGCAGAAGGCACAATCCAGAAGTCTGCCCACATGTCTGCCTGGCTCCTTGGCTCCCACTGAGTCAGGACCTGGGCTGGAGACCTCAGGACTCAGCTCTAGCCCAGTGTCTAGTGTTCTGTGCTCTGAACACTAAATCCTGCCTTCATCACACTGACCAGTGAGAAACCTGCAGTTCCTGCTTGCTGTGAGCTCAGAGCAAGGTGAAAAAATGGGAAATGGAGCTGCAAATCAGGATATGGTAACCACCATGCCACTGTTTGAAGAGAAGATTTTACATACCTGGAGATAACCCATGCATTCACTGTCACAGAGGTCTTGGGAGTTCCTTAGTTGCTTTGTTGATTTATTGTGACTCTTACTGATGCTTCAGCACAAGACAATCCTCAGGCAAGCTTGCAAGTCCAGGAACTTAACCAGCCTCCTCCACAATCAATGCAGACGCAAAGAAGTCTTTTGGGTTTTCTGCTCCAGTACTTGCTTTTCTGCATATTCCCTTTACACCTCGACCGGTTCTAGAAGACGTCCTTCAGGCTTCCTGCTGAAAAGACTGAAAAATGACTTCTTATGCTTTTAAACCTGTTTTCAAGTTGTGTTTTTACACAAGTAGCTTTACATTTCACTTATGATCTTCCTGCTTTCCTCATCAGAACCCAAGTCCAGCTTTTTGCAGAATGCCATCTTGCTTCTGACAGCCTCCCTTGTCCTTTTAGCCCTGTTTTATTTTTTTAGCTTCTTTATTTTTTAGCCACCCTTGATCTTCCTACATACTTTGTCAGAGGATATGCATTTGATCAGAGCTTGCAATGTGATATCTTTCAGTTGGCTCCCTATTGCATAAACCCCTTTTAGCTACCCCTTTCAGCTTTTTTTCAAGAGGCCTTCTTGCTGTTACAGAGTTCCCCTTTCCAAAATTAAGAACAGGAGATTTCTTTAGCTTTTGTTGCTCAGATCAGCATGGTGACTCTTAAGTATGTAATGGCCACTGATTCAGAGACTGAGTAGTCAGGTCCTGTTCTCTGCCTTCAGTCAAGAATTGCTTCTCCTTTCCCTGACCAGCTGCTCCATAAAAAGTTGCTAACAATGTCTGACTCTTCAGCGTCAGACATAACAGCTCTGTGGTCTGCATCGAGACACTGGGCATTTCCCACTGCAGTTGTGGTTGCTGCCACTGAGCCTCCCTTGTCTTCATCTCTCTTCAGTTAAGAGCTGATGGAGTGAAATCTGTGTTCTAAAACAGTAGATTTCTCATTATTTCTGTGTTGAGAAGTCACCAAACCTGTTAGTCTCCCTGGTGATAGGTGAGGAAATATATTTTCTGGTTTATAATGCCAGATTGAACATCTGTCCTAGAATGGAATGCACCAGAGCCCAAAGGTGCCTGCTTTTCTCTGTGGACAAGAGAGGGAGTCCAGACAACTTACTCAAATGTTAGCATCTGCTTTTGCATAGACAGATCCTGCCTGTAGCTCCTTGAAAGTTATTCTTGGTCTAAGCACTGTATTATTTACACATCCCAGGTTTTGTCACTCTGTGACCTGGCAGGTTTTGTCACTGTGTGACCTTGCACTAAAGACGCATCCCTCTGACCCTGCTGCCAGGCACAGCTCTAGGCAGTTTTGGGGACAGGACTCCATGCAGTGCTTCATGCAAGGCCAGGAACTAGCAACACTTCACCCACACACATGACTTCTGACACTTTTCTGACTTGCCTTTCTCTTCTCACATCCTCTATTTTTGAAGAGAGAGAATTGTTACCGTACGGGCATCCATCACACGTATGAGACCTGTACAGCAGCATACACCATGCGAGAACTGTGGAGGAAAAGGCAAATAAAAGACATGTTGGCAACTGAACAGCTGACGAAACTACTCATTTTTCTTTTGTGCTTTTTCTGGCTTCATTTTAGTAGTAGTCTTAGCTTTGACTGCTTTTCTGAATTACAACTTCTTTTAAAGAACCAAAACTCGAAGAAAGAAGTAACTAAAAGAAAAACCTGCTGCTGACAGTCAGTTTGTCTGACTGCAATGGACTGAAACTTCTAATGTGTATTTTATCTGTTTAATAAAAGTCTCCATTTACTTGGCTGTCTGCAGTCATCCCTTTACAGTCAGGCACCAGCTAGGCAGCTGTAGATAAGCCAAAGATTTTACTGAAGTAAAGATGAACAGAGTCAATGAGAATCCTAAACCAACCAACCAAGTTACACCCTCATGTTCCCAAATTAATAAGCACTATATGTTTCATTGCAATCAATACTGAATTTGAGACATAAATCAATTTTTACCCAGGACAAACTGTAAGATTAATCAAGCACAAACATCTTCTACAGATCGATAATCCACTCATTCCAAAAGTTATATGAAATAAGGCCAAAGGACACTTCAAATGCATAACAGGAAAATGTCTTTTGTAATATTTTGCCACAAAACAATGATGTATTAATATTACTTGTAGTATGTGCCATGACTATGAGCACACACAGTTCCCTTGCCTATGAACTCATGACTGTGGGGCTGCTGCACAGTCAGATGAACCAGGCTGAGGGCTGGATGTGTCCAAAGCCCACATCCTGCCTGCTTCTGGTTTAACAGGAGGTGTCACAGCAGATTTCACATGGCAGTGAGGGCAGCCTCACTGTGCCATCACCGTGCTGCCACCCTGCTGATTCCAGAGACAGCAGTGTTGAAGAGCAGCACAATCACTGCCCCTTCAGTAAGACCAAGTTTTCATACATTAGAGACAAATGAATCAGGGAGTAAAATGAGTTTGGCCTGAAGAGCATGACTGTGAGATCTGTGAGAGCACTAAGATCCTGTGCTGGAATCTCCTAATGTTCAAAACTTCAGTGAATTTTAGCACAAAGAAATAAGAAAGCAACATATCTAACCGCCCATGTGGGGAAGGCTAGAAGTCAGTCACCTAAGAGTGACTTTGGTGTATATTGCCTTTATTAAGGAATACCTTGATCTGCTTCAGGCCAGGCTGGTGATCAAGGAAAACATTCATCAAGTACTACAGATCTTCTCCAACATCAGGAACAGGCTTTCCACCTCTGCAGGACATTCCTGCAAATAGAAGGCAAATACTGACAGTGAATTTTAAACCCGTGCTTCATCTGCAGTGTGCATTTTGATCCAAGCATTCAACCAAACCACCTGTCAAGCAAGTTGTTCAGAAGATCTTGACAGACTCTTCAACAAATTCCTGCTCCTTTTCCAGGAAAGTTCCACAAAGACTTAGCAGACTATACAGAAAGAATGAAACAGTAACTGCAGGGAGACAGGCAAAAACCTCTCAAGGTCACTGCCAAAAGCAAGAGCAGCACAAACTCTGTTGGTAATGAAGAACTTCTGCTATTGAAAGTATTGCTATTGAACTTCTTGCTCTTGAAAGAAGACCAAGAGCTCTCGAAATGTGTTTCAGACAATTTTTAGTTTAGAAGATGGAGAAAACTATTGAAAATGCTATTTAAAATCTTGATTAATACAGGAGAACTTGAAGGGGACATAATTAACAGGTAATGAGAGAGAAAGAAAAACACTGATATAGGAACATGCTCTATTTATACACACGGGAAGGAAAAGCAAAACAAAAGAAAATCTTATTACTGACAGAAAAGAGGAACAAATAAAGGAAGCCACACACAGAGAAAAGCTGTACCTTCTTCACTTCAGCCTTCAAATAAGGTGAATTGCCACACAGCCTTTTTAGGAAGATGATAGCAACAGGTAGCAGCAGGAAAGAACAGACTAGGTTGTATTTGGTTATGCAGTTACACTGAGGTGCCTGGACAATGCACTTCCCAGTGTTTAGGCCAGTCAAAAATCATGGCATTTGATGGTTCTGCATTGACTAAAGGGAAAGAAAAGTGGACCTGTGCGTGGAAAACTGCTCAGCCCAACTCCGAAGTCCAGGAAGGTAATGAACTATTGGCATATAAAGCCTTTGAGAATGAGGTAATGTAAAAAGTGACAAACCAGAAAGTCACCATGAATTTGTCAAGAATAGGGGGAACAGATGTTCAGAAGCAGCACTGGAAGGGATCTGGGGATTACAGGGGATCAGGAAGAGTCTGAACCAACACGGTGAGGCTATTGCAAAGTTGGCAAGTGCCGCACTGAGGTAGGTTACCTGATTAGCCTGCTTATGGGACAGAGGTGTAAGGAAGAATGCAAAGTTGAATAGTCCAGAAAAAGCCAGAGAATGCGAAAAGGTTTAGGAGTTGCAGCCTATGAGGTCATGACACCTACGAGAATTTGTTCAACCAGAAAAATGAGGTTTAACAAGGGATATGGTAATATTATGCTCAATGCATATGGTAATATTATGTGCAATGACACAGGAGCTAAAAAGATAGTGTAAATTGATGCTTATTAATTATTCTTTGTATCTGCTGGACACTGGACAAAGAAACGTAAATTCACTATCAAAGCACAATTTAAATGCTGTGGAAAACCTTGTGGTTTAAGGAGGGCTGAGTGCTGCAACATGCCACCGAGGAAGACTGCAGACTCTCCTTTATGGTAGGTTTGAGAAAAGGATTAGACTGGCTTTTGGAAGAAATAGCCAGATTTCAGAGCAGCTGCTGTCTTAGTTACCAAGTGTTTTGTTCCTAAAGGTGGTATCAATACACTTCTTTTGCTCTCCTTACGCAAAATATGGTGGAAACCTTGACAGAAATCACTGTTAGCTACAACGTAAGTAAGAACGAATGTTCCTTAATCCCTGCACGAGTTGGAGGCTTCACCTTATGGCCTACCTCAGATTCTAGGCCCTGCTCCAGGGGAGATCTCACTCGCCTCAGCTCTGGTCTGACAGACCAAAGGGCACCTCAAAGCCCAACCTCGTCCCGAAAATCCCTGCTCGGCCCCGGAGGCTGCTACACTCTGCGGTCACCCCGCTTCTACCCGGCAGGGCCGGGGCGGACAAAGGCCGGCAGCCCCTTCGCGGGCCGAGGCACACGGGGGAGCGGCTGCCTCTTCCAACAGGTACCGCGCAGGCGGCCGCGTTGGTCGCCGCGGGCCGGACAGCTCCTCCCGCCGCCCGCTCTCGGCGACGAGGCCGAGCGCCCCGCGGCATGGCGGCCCCCCGGCGCGGCGGGAGGGACAGGGCCGCCGCCAAGGCGGCCATGTTGTCGTCCTGCGGCCTGTGGTAACTTTCGGGGAAGTTTCTTTCCCGGCCTCTGGGGGGAACGCGGGGAAGGAGGCGGAGGCGAAAAGGGGGGGGGGGGGTGGTGAAAATCCGCGACCGCCGGGACAGGACGCGGCGGGACCGGTCGGAGAGGCGGCGGGCTGGGGACCTAAGGGGGTGTCCGACCCCGCTATCCCCCCGCGCTCCCGCCGCGCGCCGCGCTGGATCCGCCGGCGGCGGCGGTACCGTATTCACCGCGCGCTTTAGGCCGCGGCGCTGCGCAGACAGCGTACAGCCGCCGTCCCTCCGCCCGCCAGCGTCGCTCGCGCCGCGGCCGCCGCCCCGCCCCTCCTCGCCTTCGCCCCGCCTCCCCGGGCCGCTGCTCGGCAGCCCATTGGGCGGCGCGGCCGTCAGTCGGCGGCTGGGCCCATCTCGCGCTCCCCATTCATGCAGTTTGGTTGCGTGTTGGTGTATTTTACTGTTTGCAATAAAGAGGGGGGGATTTTTTTTTGTTCAGTTTCTGCTGCAATTAACTCTTGGTCCCTTTTATACAGCTTTTTTTTTTCCTTTTTTTTCTTTTTTTGTTCAATTTTGCAGAACGGTTGAAACAGTTTGGTTTTTTTTTTCTGGTGGTTACATTTATTTTTTTTTTTAATATCTTATCTAGATCTATATATTTTGCAATCAACTATTAAGGTGCAACTATGCCCAAAAGAAAGGTAAGTACGGAAACAAGGACAAAACAGGGGGAGAGAGAAGGGGAGCGATTAAAGCGGCGTTCGCAGAATTATCCGCGGGGTTTTGCGCGCGCGTGTGCGTGGATTTGGAGTTTTTTTCTCCTTTTTTTTTTTTTTTTTTTTGCATTTTTAATTTCCCGTGCATGTCCTAAAGCGGAGCCGGGGACGGGAAGGAGAAGGTCTGCGGCGGGTGTGGGGCTACCCGGGGCGGGCAAAGGGAGGCCGCGAGTTCACTTCGGGCCGTTTTCGTTGGCGAGGAGGAGGCTGAGCAGTGTCTCCATGCTGGATTACAAACAGCCATGGTGCTGCCGCTGCGCCTGTGGAGAGAGCACAGCCCGGCGCGGGAGGCTCCGCTGCTCACCCACCGCCCAAACCTTGGTCCCAACCCTCCCGGGCACCTCCGGGGGTATTTTAGGGCAGATCGGGTCCTTCCCCGGGAAGATTTGGGTCTAAATGGTGCTTCTTTCTCCTGCGTTTGCCTTTGTTCTCTTTTTTTTTTTCCTCCCACTTCTTGTCATACCAGATGGTTGTGCAATGGTAATTTGGAGCCATTAGGCGGCGCAGAATTTGAAACTGTCCTTGAAGGAAAGCGGGGAAGGGATTCACCACCATCATTAGGAACTTTGGCTTCAAGGCCAACACCGACTATTCCCTTTCCTCTCCTTCCCCACCCCCCGACCCTCCTCACTTCTCCCCTCAGCCGCGGGCACCGAGGCCGCCATCCGCCACTACCGGGGCTGGGCGCTTACGGCCGCCCCACTCGGCCTTTAGGGCTCGCTCCCGACGCCCCGCGGCTGAGGGAGGAGGAGAAGGAGGAGGCGGTGGCGCAGCCGCCCCCCCACCCGCCGGGCTCCTCGGCCGCCTGCGGGGCTTCGGTCGGTCCCGCAGCCCCCGGCCCAAGCCCCGGTTGGACCGGGGGCGGCGGAACCGGGCCGAAGCCCCGCGAGCGGCCGCGATCGCGTCGGTGCCGAGCGCCCGGCATTGTCCTTGCGCGGGGCCGGCGGCGACCTTGTTGTGGCAGGTAATTTGGCGGGAACTTTTTAAACGCGGCGACGCCTCTGCGTGATGACGTAACTCGGCGGCCCCGGGGCATTGTGGGAGTTGTAGTCTGTGGAGGGGGGGAGTCCGCCATCGCTCTCCTTGGCTGGGTACCGGTCTCCTCACACAGTAGGAGCAGGGAAGGGAGCCAGGAGGTGCGTTCATGTCTTCAGGGTGGCAATGGGTGTCCCTTGCTCAACCCTAGGCTCCCTTCAGGGCTGTGAGGGAGCTGACCACAGGGGATGGCGACACCTTCTTACCTCAGTCTCTTGCTTTGCTTGCAGGCTCCAGCTGAAGGCGAGGCAAAGGAGGAGGTAGGAGCTGCTTCTTCCATGATAGTCCCCATTCCTTCCCCAGTTACAAGGCCCCCACGCCTGCAGCCCCCAGGGGTGGGTTTGGGGTGCCTGTGCCCATCCCTTCACCTGTCACCTCAGATGGTTGCTGAGTGTCCCCGCTGCAGCCAGTGGCTCCACTGGGCTGAGGCCACTGGGCCCAGCGGAACATGTCCCCTTTAGCCAGTGGCTCAGTGACAAGAGTCTTCATGGCCCTGCTCCTGCAAGTAAAGAAACTTTGTTCCTTACAGTGTGCTAAAAGGAAGGTAGCATGGAGCGAAAACTATTGAACAAAGCTGCACTTTGGGGAAGTCATCACCATAATGGCCGTAATTTAATAAGTTCTAGAATCTGTATGGGGCTTCAAAGGGTCATTTTATTCTGGGTTGTAGTTCTGAGAAAGCACTGCTGTATATGCTCCCTGAATTTTAGTGACGCGTCTTTCTTTACACAGCCAAAGAGAAGGTCAGCTAGACTATCTGCTGTAAGTATCTTTATTGACTCTTTTCATATTACAGTCACGTAGGATGCTAAGTTCTAGGGGACAGTTATAGAGAAACTGTTTCATCTTTTCCCCACCAGTATTGTGAAAGGCATGGTTAAAGTATTGCAATATTTAAAAGTAAAAATTCCTGTTCTCTGTTTCTAGTCCTTGAGTATCAACACTTCACAGGCCTACTTTAGACATGTGTTAGCTAACATTCAGTCTGGATGCACGAGTATCCAAAGTCAAAGGATACAGATTTAAAGATGTGTTTGTTCTCTGTAGGTCTTCTCCATGCAAATACCTGCTCATAGCTCCATAAATTACCTGCTCTCTTCTTAATACTTGTAATCTGCCCAATGAACTTATGGGCCCAGCTGTTGGGTAAACTGAGACCTAGAGGGTGTAAATCTGTCATGTGGGTTCAGCCCAAAGTCACAGCCTTAAACAGGCTCATGGCAGCCTCTTCTGCAGACACTCAGTGCACCCAGCCCTTTTTTTAAGCCATCTTGGAAGTGCCAGGTTTGCTATTTAAGAGAGGAAGTACTTAATTTTAGTGAAAGCTAATCTGTGTATTCATACACAGGGCCATGTCCAAATGTAAATACCTTTATTTCTGACACACACTTGCCTTCACAGCAGACAGTAACACCCAGACACAGTCATGATCTACTTACTACTACTGCCAGCGTCTGTACCGACTACCATAACGTAGATTTGGAAACACAGGTTTGGATAACAAAACATGCTGATCTGTCTCTGATGTTTTCTCCTTTGTAATACAGAAGGAAGCAGTCAGCTCTAAACTACTTTTTGTTTTATAGATTTCAGAAGTTACCAATATATTACTAAAACATGTATAGCATTTGTCTGACTGTCTCTTGTGTATGTTTTGTGCAGAAACCTGCTCCGCCTAAACCGGAGCCAAAGCCCAAAAAGGCAGCACCTAAGGTAAGTGTTCAAGATCTCTCGAACTGAAGTTGTACTTCTCTTTCTCAAGGTGTTTGTAGAGGTAAAAACCCCATCCACAACTAGCCATTTTGTTTCTTCATCATTTTCTTTAAAGATTTAAGATTTAATTATGTGAGTTAAAAGAACGTGAAAGATGTAAGGATAATTTTATCCAGTTCCTAGTGAAGGAATGTGGTAAACTGAACAGGTTTTAAATCGGCTGTGATGAGGCTTTACTGCTTGCCTGGCAAGGCCATTCTGAAGTTTCATGTAATGTATTGCTGGGAAAACAGTGCTTTGAATAGAGATCGAAGAGTCAAGTTAGAGAAAGCATTCAAAATCATGTTTTTAATTACAGTTTCTTACCATGTTTTCATTGAAAGGCACGTTTTTCAGTTAGTTATGAGTTTATTGGATTTTAATCTGGAGATAAAGTTCTACGTGCCCGTTTTGTTAAGCTGGATATATTTGGAAATGTCAAAAATATTGGCATATCTGACAGTGTAGTTAAAAAAGAAACTATTTAAAGCTCTTTTTTGCTTTGGAAGAACAGTTTGAAATTTAAAAGGGGACAGTTGTGCAGTCCATGAGGTGTTCCTTATACCCCTTTTCTGCCAAACTCCCCCAGCGGTCACAGCTTGGAGGGCTTTTTTTAGGTCTATCTGTCAATATGCAGATTGAATAAGGATTTTGCAGCTGGGAAAAAGCCAAACACATAAAACCCAAACAACCCAACCCCAAACAAAATCCCCCAGCCCCTACCTTAGTGTTCTTTTTAGCCTGTTCCCATCGTACATGTTCCATTGTGGTTTCAGCAAGTCATACGGGTGAGTCACAGGTGCAGGAGGTGCTATAGTTACAGAAGGGGTTGATGGGCTGTGGACCAGGAGCTGTGCTCTATATGTTTAAAAGCCCTTGCAATAGCATATGGCACATAAGGCTTCCAGGTGATGAAAACTGTTCCACCTCCAAGGCCTTCTATACTGAGCAGCAGAGATGTCATGAGACATGGACAAGGCGGAGAACCTGGCTTGTAGTTTTAGGGACCCCACGTCTCAGCTCTGTAACCGCAGTGCTGTGTAAAGCAAGTTTTTCAGATAGGCGTCTCTGTGGTGCAGCCGTATGCCTAGATGCCATTCCAGAGGGCAGGGGAATCCAGGAACCCTGCTGCCCTGCATTCCTGTGGCTGTCAAGCATCTCCCTCTAGTGGCTGCTCCCCCCGGAGGAAGAGAGCCAACCATGGGTGGTTACTCTTCCAGCCCA